ACGTTGCTTTAAGTTAGGAGTTTGAGACCAGCCTGGGCAATACAGTGAGACCATCTCTACCAAAAACAAAATAGAACAAAACAAAAAGAAAAAAAACAAAAACAACAATAACTTGGGAAGAATTTTCACTACTTCCTAGCCTATATATTTCTGTAGTGCCTTAATTTTTACAACAACGAATGCATTATAGCTAAATAGATGTTTTAATATTAAATAGACATTAAAGGGGACATCAGTCACCTTGCAAAAAAAACCCTGCTAATGGGACGGGAAGCATGGGAGCCGCGAGTGCTTGGTACTGACCACGGCTGGGGGACAGCAGGCCGCTCAAGTAGGGGAAGCTCACTCTCCGCATCTCATCCAGCTTCTCCTGCAGCTTGCGCACTTGGCTGTCAGAGCGGCTGACCCTCTGTCGCAAGCTCTTCAGCTCGCCGTTCTTCTTCTCCACCTGCTCCCGCAGGCAGCACACCTGGCTCTTGTTCTGCCGGGAGGAGAAGCAGTAGGAGTGCAGGGAGTCGATGAGCTTGCAGGCCCCTGATGCCGACAGGATGACCTCATTGATGGACATGGGGTTGGCGTCGCTGTGCTCACTCTGTACAGCTTCTGCAGCCGGCTTCGGAGTGACATCGGCTGGAGGGGCGGAGGGGCTCTGGGAAGGCTTCTGTGGCGTCGCTGTGAGGGATGAACTTGGGGGGCTCTGAGCCAGGCCCTTATCAGGCCCAAGGCTACTCCCACTGCAGCCAGGCTCCACATCCTTCTTCAGCCTCTTTCGGTCAATGGGCTCTCTGGGCTCTCGGGGGACAGCGGGCCTTTCCCGAGTGTGCCTGGAGGAAAAACTGTAAGAATGAAGTGAGCCAATAAATTTGCATGCCCCAGACCCTGGGGGGGTAAAGTCATCCATAGAGATGCCACTCTTATCCACCACGCTCCCATCAGTGGAGGAGGAGGTGTTCTCATCACCAGCATCTGTGGCAGACACTTCTGCTTCTCCCTGGCTGCCTGCTACTGTAGTGGCCAGTCCATCTCCTTGAGTTCTTTCCAGAGACTGCTGTGCCTGTTTCTGGCTAACAGCCTCCCGGGCAGCCCTGGGTGCAGTTTCACCCTGCAAAGCAGCTCGCTTCAGCTTGCGGGACTCTGGCTTGGCCATCAGGTTTGCACTCGAGGATGATGACCAACCAGTTCCTTTGCTAGCCGCTGTGCTCGAGTGTCCCCTCACACCCCCCGTGGCCTTGCTGGCGTCCTTTCTCCTGGTGCGGCCATGGCTTTCAGCCTCTCTCTTTTTCTCCGTCAGGTGGAAGATGGACGGCACAGCTGTGGGCTTGAGCAGGCGGTGCTGGTCCTCCAGCCTCTTGGAGAAACTGTCTTTGGTGAAATGCTCACTACAGAGAAATGAATACTTAGTGGGGGTCCAGTTATCCCTCTGAACAGCTTTTAACCACTGGATTAGACGTTTTGAGTCCTTTAGGGGGAATCTGCAGGACAAATTACAAAGTAATCAGAAAGAAATAATTAAATGTCTCTCTCTAAAATTATTAACTATAAAGTCAAGTGTTTTTGCAAACATCCAAACCTGTTTGACTTCACCTGTTTAAAAAATACTTTAATAAAGACTTAGAAAAGGATTAGCAGTAGTGGAAAACTGCCGGAGGGGTGGGGGGCACACCTCAATAAGGGTACCTGCACAATGAATATTACAATGAATTGTACCCCACATCTTTTTTTTTTTTTAAAGCAGGATTTATTGAGAGGACAGAAAAGCTCCTACGGTGGGAGGTGACCCAAGAGGGTCATCTATCCTACATCTTTAAAATAAAAAAAAATTAAAAAAAAAAAAGACATAAGGAATACCTTCTGCCTGCAAGTTATTACTGGAATAGAAAGATGAAAGACCCATTGTCCACATTTAAGCAGCTTACAGTCTGTAGGGCATATAGGAGTGAAGGTAAATAACTTCTCCCTGAGCTGCAGTAAAGACAGTCTTGCAGAGGCAAGCCAGGATGGTATCAGGGCAACAGGAAATTGCTCCTAGAAGGTAGCAGTTGATCAACCTTCCCAATGTGCCTAGAAGACAGGACTCTGGGCACTAAAACTGGACCCCCTACTGAGAAGCCAGGTCAGTGTCAGTCCACAGAGATGGGAGCAAGAACCCAGGAGAGCACCCCAGATGCTTGGCATGGTGATGGCCTCAGTTGTACTCAAGCAGTTGCGGATTTGGGGACATCTAGAAGGTAAAACCCAAAAGCTGTATTTCTGTGTTTCTATTACACTTCCACCGCCAAGATTAAGACTGCTCTCTTTAAAAGTCAACCAGCCCAGGGCTAGGCATGGTGTTGCACACCTGTAATGCCAGTGCTTTGGGAGGCCAATGTGGGAGGATCATTTGAGTCCAGGGGTTCGAGATTACAGTGAGGTATAATTGCACCACTGCACTCTAGCCTGGGCAACAGAGCAAGACCCTGTCTGTAAAAAAAAGTCAACCAGCCCAAATGAACCTTGAGAACATAAGCCAATCACAAAAAGACAAATACTGTATGATTCCATTCATGTGAGGTACTTAGAATAACCAAAAAATTCATAGAGACAAAGTGGAATAGTGATCACCAGGGTCTGGGGAGAGGGGGTATTGGGGAGTTTGTGTTTAATGGGCACAGATTCAGCTTTACAAGATAAAAATAATTCTGGAGGTGAATGGTGGTGATGGTTGCACAACAATGTGAATGTATTTAGTGTCATGGAACTGTATACTTAGATATGGTTAAGACAGGGCTGGGCATGGTGGCTCACCTGTAATTCCAGCGCTTTGGGAGGCCCAAGCAAGAGGACTGCTTGAGCCCAGGAGTTTGAGACCAGCCTAGACTACGTAACAATCCCTTGTCTCACAAAAAATAAAAATTAGCTGGGCATGGTAACATGCACCTGCAATCACAGCTACTTAGGAGATGGAAGAGGTAGAGGCTGTGGTGAGCTGTGATCGTGTCACTACAATTCAGCTTGCCCGGATGACAAAAAGAAGTTAGGATGGTAAATTTTACATTATGTATATTACACCATAATAAAAATAATTGGAGAGAAAACCTGCCAGTCTTGGAAGATTCTAAATTAGATATTTAATCATTTTTTCTTTGTTACCTAATAAAGATAGTTATTTCTTCATTCAGGTAACATCTATATTAAGAAAACAGACCTCAAGCTGTGCAAGTGAGAGGAGGTGGGGGGGCAGTCATTCCTAACTGCTATTTGATCCACCTGAGGTCCTCTAACCACCTGAGGCCACTGTAGATCAGCACGAATCCTAACAGGATGGACTGGGAAGTTCTCGGCTCCTTTCCCAGTGCTTTGTGAGGCCAATTCCAAAGGAACCCCCCTCCTCCAATTCAGGCATTTTTTCTCCCCATACCATGTTACCCCACTGCAAGGCTTTTGCTTCATTTTCAGAAACAGTAACAAACCTTCTGGGATACGTGTTTTGAAGGAAACTGTCAAGAAGGCATAATGGCTGACTTCTGAAAAAAAATCTAAGTTACTTGTCCTTTTGGTAGATTGTAACAACTTAAGACTTACTGCAAGCCACCGTGAGCTTTCAATAACACTATAAATAACACGTGCCATTCTCATCTTTAAAACTTAAATAACACCATGCAACATAAAACAGAAATATCTGCAAAGTGGTTTTTAAAGTGGAGTCTCTTCTGTTTACTGTTCTGGTACCTCCCGCGTGTAAATCCACAGGAACGCATTCACTGAAATAGGCTGAACCCACAACCCTTATAGGGGAGGTGGCCCTGCCGCGGGAGTCCTCTTGAGAAGTGGTCAAGAGGTCAGCCTCTCCACGGAGGATGGGTGTGCAATGGTCCAAGCCGGCAGGACACGGTCCGAATTAGGGCCGTACCGCCGGGATGATGCTCGGGACTCTCCGCGGCCTCCGCAAGCCTCTCACTGCACAGAGCCCATCTCCTCGGGCTTCGGGGACCCCTTCTATTAAAACAGCTCTTAGGAGGGCCTGTTAATTGAGGAAGTACACGTAGCATCTGCTCAGCTACATTCCAGATCGCAGACATCAAGGCAGGCTGCCCCACGGATCAAAAGAGCGTAGAAGTCGCAGCAAGCATAGAAGGACAATTAACCTAAGGAAGAGCGTTTCCAGAATATACCGTTTCTGGAAACTGGCGGCGCCACCCCAAATCAATAGAGCGCAGGATGGACAGAGGGCAAGATCCGAGTGGGCGCCTGCTAGCCGTAGCGGCGGCCGTGGTAGGGTCCTAGAATGGCCATGGGGTGGGG